CTTTACTGGCATAAAAGTGTTCAACAATCTGCCACAAAGTATTAAAAACTTGGGCAATGATACTAAAAAGTTTAAATCAGAGTTAAAGAATTATCTACATGCTCATTCCTTCTACTCTTTAGATGAATACTTCAATGTAAATAGAGAATGATGTAAAATTAAGTTATATTAATTTTTAAGCTAAAATTGCCTGTACTTATGTATGTAACATTTTGACTTGTTCTGTATCCAAAGGTACTAACCTGCTTAGGATTTATAGAATGTAAATAAATTCAATTCAATTCAATAATCAGAATTTGGATTGTAAGTTGAGAATTAATCTAAGTTAATATAAGAACTCTTTTATAATTGTTTTTTTTTTTTTTTTTGCAGTCATTCAGGAACTCCTGCTGTTGGCTGTTCTTATAAGGCAGCAGCTGGCTACATGTACCCTTTGGAGCGAGGTTTTATATATGTGCATAAACCACCAGTTCACATCCGCTTTGAAGAAATCAGTAGTGTCAACTTTGCTCGAAGTGGTGGTGGAACTAGGTAGGTAAACTGAATATTTATGGAAACAGTGATGCATAATAGTAGCCTCTTTGATCATATGAGGTAGGTTCCAAAATAATGACGGGATATCCTTCCATTTATCATTGATAGTTTTCATCAGACTGAGCAGTACTAGTATGTGTAACACTCTTAAACTCCCTGTGTAAACATCACATTCTGAGCTCTCTGGATTGTTTGTCTATTTGTCTCTCACACATTCTACAGAGTTGAATGGAAAGGACAGACAACAATATAAACACATACAATTCTTGATTTGTCTAGCCCTTCAGTTGGTATGCTACTCTAGTCAAGCAATGTAAACACACTTTTGTAGCTCTTCTGCCATTTCTCCCTGTTGGAGAAGGGACTGTTTACAGCAGTACCCATTATGTGGCATCTGTGGTCAGTAAAGTTGTGAGGATTTTGAAATTTCAAGAACTGCATTACTCCAGGTTTGGCATGATTGTAAGATTATGTGTGTTATTGCATTGAAAGCAAAAGTACTGTCTAGCAGCAGGTTCTTTCAGAGCAGTTTAAATTCACATGTTAAATTTTGTCAGCATTCATTGTTATATCAAGGTTATAATTCAATGTTGTTATTTTCTTATTCATTGTTATTATTATAGTTAAAGTTGTCTTTCATTTTCTTACATGTACGTAAATATTACTCTGAAAGTTTTAATGTGTTTCAATATAATAAAGTTTTGTGTAATTAATATAATTTTGTCACCTGCTTGTTCTTATTGTACTGACCTTTCACTGCATAAGGACCATCATTCGGTTGTGAAGAACAGAAGATTAGTAATGTTCTGCTTTACGTTTAATTGAGTTGGATGTTGAAGAAATTAATTTTGTCTTATAATGATGTATGCAGGTCATTTGATTTTGAAGTGGAAACAAAATCTGGAGTTGTGCACACATTCAGCAGCATTGAAAAGGACGAATATGGGAAACTGTTTGATTTTATCACTTCCAAGAAACTGAGAGTGAAGAATCGAGGAAAATCTGTGAGTTGAATTAGACATTCCTTCTGCCCAAGGCTTATATCATGTAAGAAAAATGTTTAGAAAAGGGTGTATCACTGGAACAACTTTTAGAATAACTGAAAGAAAACTGGGATATTAAATATGAATTTCTAATTGAACAATTAACAGGAATCCTTCTTATTTTGTGCTGGTATTGTGTTCTGTTATTATTTATTGTAAACATGAAACTTTCTTGCCCTCTGCCATATCCATATTCTTCTGAGCTGCAAAGAACTGTTGCTGTGAGCTATAAATTTATTCTAATGAGAGTATTAATGTTTTAATGTGTGTCTTAACTCTCGCAGATGGTTTGTGCTGTGTTTGGTTTATATNAGGAGAACTGGGTTCCCTTCTACATGGGAAGGGAAACGGCACAAAGTGGTAGCAGAGCGTGGTTCTCGACCCACGTGCGGCAGGGACATACGGCTCAGTCCTATCTTGCATTGGTGCTGGTGTCCAGGGATAGGGACTAACTATCAATTTGGCCCAACTGAATAGGTTCCACCTGAAGATGGAGACAGAATCCATTCTCCAAAACACTGTGTTTTAAATAAAAACAGGACAGTGGATAATGTTCAGAAACACAGTAATTGTACTAATGAGCATTGTTTAGTGAAGAGTTCATTTTATAGCATTAAGTATAAGAAAACTGCAGAAAAAGTGTGTGGATTTTTGTAAGTTGTGTATGGAAATACTGCTTTGAAATAATCTGCTCTTCCAGAGGTAGTGTTCTCATAATTTAGAATACTGAGCAGTTCTGGAGCCATGTTACACAAGAAAGTTCTGAGGTATTTCTTCTTGCAGGATAAGCCATCATATGCAGATGATTTTGGTGATTCAGACCAAGAGGATGAGCCTGACGCTTACCTTGCTAGAGTGAAGGCAGAAGCAGAGGAGAGGGATGAAGGTGAAGGGGGAGAGTCAGAAGAAGAATCCACAGATGAAGACTTCAATCCTGATCAGCAAGAGAGTGATGTTGCTGAAGAGTAAGTTGTGTATATTGTATGTCTATGTACTTAGTTTTCTTTGCTTTTGAAGAAGTATTAGCAAAACATTTCACTCATTAGATGTCAGTCTTATGCTTCAAGTCTTTTTTCCCTGAAGTAGTCATGAATTATCACCAACACATACCAACAGTTGGGAGTGAGAGTTTACATGAAATTAGTAATGATAATGGAGTTAAGGTAGTAAACTTTGTATCCAAAAATCTGATTGTCAGAAGTACAGTGCTCCCACATCGTAACATTCTTAAATTTGCTAGACATCTCCCAATGGAAAAGAAACACAATGAGACTGACCACATTTTGATAGAAAGGAGATGGCAGTTAAGCATGCTTGATAGCTGATCTTTTAGGGAAGTGGACTGTGACAGTGACCACTTTCTGGTGGTAGCAAAAGTTAGGGAGAGACTGGCAGTGTTTAAACAAATAAAGTGCAAATTTCACATGGAGAGGTTCAATCTCAAGAAACCAAACGAGGTAAGGAACAATGTGTTAAAATCTCAAATAGATTTACAGCACTGGAAAACTTAGATGATGATGTGGATATTAATAGAGCTTGGGAAACTATTAGAATATAAAAATTTCAGCCAAAGAAAATCTAGGTTATTATGAGTTGAAGAAGCAGAAGCCATGGTTTGACAAAGGATGTTCAGAACTATTAAATCAGAGGAAACAGTGCAGATTCCAATAGTTTTAGGATCCAAGCCATATAAATGGTGACAGCCTGAACAGTATAAGACGTGAAACTAGCAGGCATTTCAGGAATAGAAAGAGGGAATGTGTGAAGGACGAACTTAATGAGCTTGCAATGAACAGTAAGAGCAAGAACATTAGAGACCTGTACAGAGGAATAAATGAATTTAAGAAGGGTTACCAACCTAGAACTACATAGTGAAAGCTGAGAATGGTGATCTGCTTTGGTTTTCTTTATACCTTGTTTTGAAAGATAATATAAAAATAATATTTGAACACTTTACTATGTAAATGTAGGTGAAAGTATGATTCTTCCTTTATTTTATGATGCTTTATCAACTGATATTTTTATGTAACTTCTGTAAGATGAGATGGTGACTGTAACTGATGAATGGAAAGGATGAGAAAGAAAGTGACTGTAGTCCGTTTCAAGGTATTGTCACAGCATTCACCTGGGTGGACTGACAGAATGGTACATACCTAGTTATGCTGTTTCTTCAGCCATTCAATAAGAGTCTTGTTTCTTTTTTTCTAGAGCTCTCAGTCTGGGTAATTCATTTTCAACTATGTTGCACATTACAGTAACATTGTTCTTGGTCTCAAATTGACACATGTACTTTCTGGCTGCTTCCAGTCCTTTCAGTGCATCCAAGAATGTTGCTTTGTTTTCTGCAACTTCCTCTTCTTCTGGCATAGTCAAATGTTGATCTAACACCTGGGTGATACTCTGGAGTCCACAAACCTCAAGAGTACTCTAAGAGTTTGTAAAATATGCCAGTCATTCTCTGCATCTTCGCTGAGTTTCACTGCACTGTTGTCATTGCTGCTGACATGATCGTTTGAGAAACCACACTTCACAAAGCAGTTCTTGATTGTAGTGGGTTTTATTACTCTTCAGGCTTCTGCTATGAAGTGCATTCCAGACAACATATACAGCTTCATCTCTGTAGCATCTTGGAGCAGTCTCCTGTCTATCATGGCTACAGTCTTTGAATCAGCTGCTTTCTGTAATGGCACTTGAATGGATATGTGAATCCTAAGTCTAAAGGCTCTAGGTGGCTGGTACAGTTAGCTGAGAGAAATACAATTTTATGTTTCTGAGAAATGTCATGTTCTTTGGACGGGCAGCACACTGATCATTGTAAAACAAGATTTTTGCAGTTTTTAGCACCCATTTTTATATCTAGTTTTATGAGGTATTCTTCAGATATTTTGGTAGTGATCCAATAATTTGTATTAGCTTCATATTTTGTAGACAGTTTCTTGACGTTATTAAATCTCTGTGGACTTCTGTATTTTTCAGTTACAAGAGATAGTAGTTTATCACTACCATCAGCATTACATGCAAGGTGTACAGTAATCCACTGTATAATTTTAAACAAATCTCCTCAAAAAGTGAGGGTTTTTGTAGGTTACAGTTTGACAAATAGACTGGTCTCATCAGCATTGTGTGAACCAGTTTTTTGCATTAATCATTTGATGTTCCATTCTTCTGCATTTTCTGGGTTAACACCTCTGCTCTCACCTGATAGAATTTTATAAATAATGTCTCTTAAATTTGTTGATCCATCCATTAGAAGCTGAAAAGTTGGCTATTCTGAGATGAGCAGCATTGTGCAAGGCCTTCTCCTTGAGGTGGGTGCCATCTGTGGAAGCATTACTCTCACATGCTTTGTTAAACCATGCAGCAAATGCAGATTCTGGTTTCTCCATTGCAAACATTGCAGTGATTTCTGCTGCTAGAGAAGGGTCCACGCTGGATGTAACTGCTTTCAAAATCTTGACGGTTCTTCACAATATTGCTTAGCATGGGCACAGAAAGTCTCAACCATGATTCCAGCTAAACATGTACCAATATCTGCATTGACTTGTGCTAAAATATTTATTTTATCACTTACTCTAAGTGATTTTCATTTTTTATTATTGCCCTTATTAGTCCTCTTGCTGTGAAATTCATTTTAATTGACAGTAAAATTTGGTGTCCACAAGTGAATTCATATGGTCACTGGAAGATTGAAGAACTGAACTTGGGTGCACTTCTCTTGAATGTTTCACTCATGAACACACACTTGCTATGATGTAGTGGTCATTTTTTGGATCACTTATGAATATCAAGCATAGGAGGGATACACAGCTCTCATTGAGTTACAGTTATACTAAGATGCAATAGGATCAAAGCTGGCCTAACACATGAGCTTCTTGGACTGCAGTGGTGGAAGAATCCTTCATGCATAATAGGCCTTAGTGAAGCCACATGGTGGACATGTATCAGTTGCAGCTGTGCATCAGTCAGTTGGTAGTATGTATTAGACTGAACCATATGCTACTTCAAACAGGGAAGGAAGTCCATTGTCTTGAAAAAGAAATTATTAGAACTGAACTACACAACATAAAATTGGCTGAACTTTCATAGTCAGTACTGGAAAAATAAAGTGCAAGTTCAGGGAAAACATGAAATTGAGAAAGTGTAAAATCCATTAAAAATTTAACATTATAGTTATAGGTGTTTGGCTGGGACATTGCAAAAAGTACATATATTTACAAAAATGTAGAAACTGGGATTGTAAAATAAAAGTTTTATTATATGTATTAACATTTCCTTTGTTCAAGTTTTTCGCTAGCTTAGTGTTTTAATTGTTTGCCTCCTAACATTAATTTTATGGTTCAATATTTGATGTAGCTTGGATCTTTTACATTTTGTAGCAACTAATAGAATTCTGTTAACTTTTCCATTTCAGGTATGACACTAATGCCTCGGCGTCAGATTCTGATGAAGGGTCAGGTGAATCAGATAAGGAGAAAAATAAGAAGAAAAAAGAGAAAGAGAAGGAGAAAAAACCAAAGAAAACAAAAACAGTGGTGAGTACTGAAAGTACATTAGTCATGAGTTGTTGGTATTTGGTTAAATGCTGGTTCAAAGTACAATGTTCTCTTCATGAAGAATATTTAAGAAGTTGGATGATGCAGTGGTAACCTGTCTTATTTACATTTGAAGGTGCCCAGTTTAAATCCTAGCTGGGAACTAGTTATTTGTATGGCTTCCTGCAATCTCTGAATGAATATTTTTGTAGTATCTTAACATAGGCCATAACCACTTCATTGCTATATCATTCATTACCATCATGTCATACCTCATATGATCCTAGATGGCTGCTTAAGCACAAATATGTTAAATGGAGATGTTTTCACTTTGCTGAGGACAGATAAGTATGAAATTATCCTAAAATGATAGCTTCAGAATATTTTTATATTTCCTTCCTGTCTAAAAGCCTAAAGATGCAAAAGTATACTTTTACATTTTGTTTTATATGAATATGAAACTTAGCCTTTGCCTCATTTGAAAAATATGGATCGAGGGTTATGAAGAGGATGTTCATAATTTGTATGCTTCAACGAATATTACTGTGGTTATAAAATCAAGGAGGATGAGAAGGGTAGGGCATAGCATTTGTGGAGAGATGAAAAATGTGTACAGAATGTAGTCAGGAAGTCTGGAGGGTTAGACACCACATAGGAGACCCAAGCATAGATGGGAGGACAGTCTTCAAATGCATTTCAAAGATTGGGTGTCTGGGTGTGGAATGGATTTAACTGGCCTAGGACAGAGTCCAGTTGTGGATTCTTGTGAACATGATAATGATCCGTAAGACTTCCATAAGCAACAATGGGTGGCTGAAGGTCTCTGCTAGATGTATTTGTAGTAATTTAAAATCCTAGTTTCACTTTTATTATCATTCTGAACTTAGGGCCCTCATAATATGCTTGGTGCCTTTCTGCTTTCTCATATCTGTGATGATACTTGTAAAATAAATAGCTTCTGAATGCTCATTTCCAAATCTCCCTCTCTCATAAGTTTTAGAGAATACTCATTTTCTTGGGTTATTGTTCCCAGCATTTGCAACTGAACTAAATGGCATCATGCCTCCTGAAAATTAATAGCAGTCTGAGATTGGTAAATTCATGAGGTTCTTAGTTGGAAATATTTTTAATTTATTCACACATCACTGTAATATGTTGCTTTCCAGTCTGAGAAGCCTCGAAAGAAGCAAGCAAAGAAAGAGAAGGATGAAAATAAACCTAAACGGCCTCCAACAGCATTCATGTTGTACCTGAATTCAAACAGAGACAAGATCAAGTCAGAAAACCCTGGTATTGCTGTTACTGACATTGCCAAGAAAGGCGGAGAGATGTGGAGAGATCTGAAAGACAAATCGGTATGTCTTTTATATGCATTTACATACTTGTATTAATGTGAAAATTCAAAGCCTAGAAAAGTAGTAGACAAGCAAGGAAAGAATAAGAGCCAGCGAGACACTGATGACAGAAAACAACAGAAATATTTCTTCTATCTCTTCACTGTGCCTTTTGTTTCTGTGCCTGTATATGTGTTATATGACTGTTCTGCTGCTCAGAATGGATCTGACCTGCCATTTATACAAAGTGCATTATTATTAATTTTTCTGCTGAGATAGGTTTAATTATTATATAGAACCAGACAGGTGATAGGTGTTTAGAAAACATATGTACATAGTAGATTAAAATTAAATAAATAGAGGTATACATAGATTTTAACCCATGTATGGGAATCAAAGAAAAAACCAGGCATTTTTTATATTTACCAGCTATTATTGTAGTGACCAAAAGTCTCAAGCCATGCAAATAACAGTTTAGCAACACTGACCACTCATTGTCAACATCACCCAAAAGCAGATGGTCAGTGATAAATTGGTCAAATGGAATTTATTGGATTGTAATTTTCAAGCTAATGGGCTGATAAATGAATGAGAATATGATCATCATTATGAATGACAATTTGTTTACACAAGGAATCTAGGGTTTTTAGACATTAAGAAAAATAAAAACTCTGGTTTTAGTCCTCAAGCGAACTGTACTGATTGAGCACCCGCTTGCTTGTTGGCGAAATAAGTGCCAACTTTAGTGGACAGAGGGTGTCACATGGTCAGCACAATGAATCCCCATGGCCGTTAACCTCGGTTTTCTAGGCTGGAGCTGCCATTTCCTTGAGCTAGCTCCTCAGTTATCCTCATGAGGCTGAGTGGGCCCCATTCCAGACCCACTACTTCTCAGAAAATGTGGTAGTGCCGGGAATCGAACACGGAACCTCTGGGTCTGTAGGCAGGAACTCTGACCACTAGACCACAGAGGTGGTCTGACATTCGGAAAAATGCTTAGAAATAAATTAAAATACAACCTTTAGAAGGGAAGCATAGTTTATTTTATGCAAGCAATCATAATAGACAGTCTGTAAAATACAAAACTTAATCAGTCTTCATTGTTTCCCCATATATATTGTGATAGGACTCCTAAAGGTCAGAATTTGTGTCAGTCAGAGGCATCCGTTGCTAAGCAGTGGCTTGTTAAAACATGTTGCTGTGGCAACAAATACACATACAACAGGAGAGGAACTCTTGGGAGTGGTGTTTTCTAATCAGTCTGATACAAAGAGAGGCAGCAAGGCACAGAGCTGGAGCATCAATGACATTTCCCGAGCTAGACATCACTGCAGGACTGTCTGAGAGAGAGGTGATCCAGCTGTATGTCCTGGCAGTGGCATTGGGGAGACCCTCCTCATCTTGAAGGAAATGTTAGTAGAGTTGACTCTGGGATGGCATCCTCTTATAACTTGGGTGCTCATCACCAAGATCACTGACAAGTTCATCCAATGGCTGGATGTCTTGCACATCTATGATGAATCTGGATTTGGAACCCCTTATGCCATAGCAGGGTGAAAACAGAGGTGCTGTTGTGCCCTGGGTCACAACCATGTTGATCTACTTACATGAAGAGAAGCAGCAAGGTGGTAGCAACTTGGTGTGGTAGAGTTATAACAGTGTAGCAGAAGGTCCCCTGGAGGCAGTGGATAGCCTCTTGGTACTGGGTTTCAGGGCTGCCAACTAAGCTGGAATGTGTAGGGCAAGAATGCCAGTTTAACCCTGAAAGGCTGTGCCCTGTCAGGATGGCTGGAGATCACTGGCAATGGAGGCATACAAACAGAGGTGCATTGCCCAAAAGAGCTGTGGCTGGGGAAACAGTCTGTCCTAAGAAGGGTGCATTTGGACAACAGTAGTGCAAAGCTGATTTCACAGAGACTGAAGACTAGATGAAGTCCAAAGTTAAGAGGAGAAGTAGTGGGGCCAGTATGGCTTTGTGGTACTATTTGTGATGGTGACCATAGGTGTAACAGAGAGATCCCCTCAGAGTGGAACAGTTGGCAGTACATCTGTAGGCTTCATGGGATGAGCAGCAATATGACATTATGCTTAAAAGCTTGAATTTTGGACTCAAGGAAGTGTTACATGTTAAAACATATCTCTCTGGCAGTAAATGCAGACAGCAGTAGAGGAACTGTTGGTGGCAATGTTTTCTAATTGGCCGAACACAAAACTATAATTCACTTATCGATCTGAACCCAGTGCCTAGTCTCTGACCTAATGTAAGTTTTTATTGTGCAGTTTTGCAATACATTGTCAGGTGTTAACATGTTGTATGATCATAAGCAATGTAGTGGGTAATGAACAAGCTAGCGTTCCTTTTTGTTAATGTATCATGTCTATTATATGAGTATAGGAAATACTTTGATATGGCTGTATAATGTGTAGTGCACTGTAAACAGGAGATGGTTTATGGTTGACTATGTGTTTGTGTTATATATGTGGGAGATTGTGTTAAACGTCACCTTTGTCATGTCACTGAGTAACATGTAGGACTGAAAGGGATACAAGAGAAAGCAGGAGAAGTTCATTTCATATCATTTCATTTATTCACCTTCCGTAAATCCTGTCGAGAGTACATTTTCGTGTGGATGTGGAGATCATCCTTGTTACAGTCACAACTAAGGATTGCAGTTGTCATCCAGTAGCATGCACATTTGTATAAAATACTGATAAACATATACAATATAATAAATAAGTTAATTTTAGTAGTAAAAGTAATGGCAAACCTCATACAATTTGTACAGTTTTATGCAAATCTATTAATTAAAAATTCAGTAGTTAAAACATAATGTCATTAATGAGTCTTGTGTAACATACATCAATTATATAATAAATTGAAACAAAGACTAGTATACAGTAATATAAAAATTGTGTATATCTAAAATAAGCATCTAAAAACCAGAAAACTGACTGACAGCCTTGTCTCCCTTTAATTGTAAAGCAAGACAACTACTCTCACCTTAAGATTTATAACCAAAATATTCCTGTAAAGAATAAAAAGAATGTAAGTATAAACATTGTTTTAATTGTACCTCAAAACTCTTGGTGTCACTCAATATATCCTTAATATGTTGTGGTAGATTATTATAGACCTTTGTTCCTAAACAGTAAACTCCCTTTTGGTATTTACTCAAATTTACAAGAGGCTGATGGAGATTATTTTGCTGTCTGGTATTTATTCTATGAATCTCTGAATTTACTATGAATTTATTTATGTTTTTTATCACAAAGAGCATAAGAGACAGTATGTACTGAGATTCCAGAGGTAAGATTTCTAATTCTCTAAATAAATTCCTGCATGAATCCCTCCTTCTGCGTCCCAACATAATTCTAATTATATTCTTTTGCATTCTAAAAATTTTTATACTTTGGGGTGAGTTACCACAAAAGGATAAACCATAATTTATAATAGAATTAAAATAAACCATTTTTAAGGTATTTATGGACGTATATGGTTTAAGTGATCTTATTATGTAGCAGACTGCACTTAGTTTAGAACTAATATACTCAATGTGGTATTTCCAGCTCGTTGTGTCATCAATTCAAGAAATTTAGTATTGGATATAGATGTAATTTGTTTTTTATCATATACAATTTTTATTTCAGATTTAAAATTTTTATTTCTAGCTGTAAATTGACTGTAGTGGGTTTTGTTAAAATTTATAGAAAGTTTGTTTACTTTGAACCATTCATTTATACTATGAAAAATATTGTTTATATTTACACAGAGATCATCATAGTTTGAACTTTTAACTAGCAAACTAGTATCGTCTGCAAATAATACAGGTTTTGGGTAAATCATTTATATAAATGAGAAATAACAATGGACCCAGAATCGAACCCTATGGGACATCATGTCGAAAATTCATTGAGATTAAGATTTATATTTGTAATTAAAACCTTTTGATATCTGTTTCTGAAATAAGATTCAAGCTATAGTTTAGTTTTACCTTTTATCCCATAGAACTCCAATTTCAACAACGGAACCTCATGATTAACACAATCGAAGGCCTTTTCGAGGTCACAAAAAATGCCTCCTATTAAGTTTTTGGTGTTTAAGGTCTTACAGATTTTATACACTAACTTGTATATAGCCGCATCTGTTGAAGATTTTGTTCTAAAACCAAATTGTTCTTCCACTAAAATGTTATTGTTATTTAAGTGCTCAATCAATTGAATGCTCATAGCTTTTTCTAATACCTTAGAGAACAAAGTTAAAAGTGACATAGGCCTATAGTTGTAAATATTATATGAAAGTTTGTAAAACAAATTATGAGACTGCTCATTCAATTTTCAGTGGATGTTATGCAAGTTTAGTACAAGAAACTGTTGTACAGGAGCATTCAAGGATATATGTGAAAATATTGGCTATAAATGATCAGGCATTGTCAATTTATCAAATGTACAAAATTATTCATTATAACACCGTGAGTTAGACATTACCTAAAAGGGGAGCATGTTGTTGAGTCTCAAAGGGGGAGGGTTATTGCTGACAGAGACAGGCCAATGTTGACAGTCTCCAAGGGGAGTAGTCATTGTTGACAGTGACTAGGTAGTCTGTGACATTGCCCAATTTTAATCTTTGGCCAAAACATACATTATCACATTATTTTGTGTGTGTACTTATGATTACTTTATTAAAACTTTGCGTCAGTAACAGAAGTTTTGTGTTCCTTCCTCAGGAGTGGGAAGGTAAAGCAACCAAGCTGAAAGAAGAATATGCTAAAGCAGTGAAGGAGTATGAAGCATCAGGAGGAGGAGGAGGAAGTGATTCTAAGGAGAAGAAGAAAGATACAAAGAGGAAAGAAACGACTCCCAAGTCATCTCCAACCAAATCTGGGAACTTTAAGAGCAAGGAATATATAAGTGATGTAGATACCAGCAGTTCTAATGAAAAGGATGATAATGAAGACAAGAAAGAGAAGAAAGTGTCCAAGAAACCACCAGCAGCTAAGAAACCGGTGAGTTGGTTGTATGTTGTTAGGTTGAATGGACATAATTGTTATGAAGAGATGCAGAGAAACAGAAGTCTACAACCATATAAATGTCACATTTGCAAGAATATACTTGGCAGAATACAGTGAAATATCTCTGATTTGTAGGGCTTTGGGCTGAAATATTATGACTTTTGAATTATCCAGTTTTTATCACTAACATTATTGTTATTACTCTTATAATTTGTGCACTTTTTAATAACAAAATTTGTACCTGAAAATTAAGGTGTGGAAGACATGTAAATACAGAGCTGGGATAGCTCGGTATAGCCATGGGCTATGGGCAGAATTGTTGAGAATTCTGGATTTGGTTCCTGGAAGGGCAAGAGAGTTTTCTCTTCCCCACATTGTCCAGACTGGCCCTGGGGCTCACCCAGCTTCCTATCCAGTGGGTACCAGGGCCTCTTTCATGGGAAGTAAAGAGGCCAGGGTGTGAAGCTGATCAGTGAGCTTCAGCTAATGCCAAGGTTAAGAATGAATGGAGCTCTGTCTTCACTTCCTCATGTGTCTTTATGGATTTGTGCTTAATTAATTAAACATGGACAGTTTTACCTTCAATATACAAGGGCTGTTTGGAAAGTAACCTGTTTGTTTTAGGCAGCTAAAGTGGGAGTGGGGGAGAGCTCGCACATCTGAGCACATAAGTGGTCACCTATTGTTTTTTATTGTCTCTAGTGAGTGAGTTATGATGTGTCCTGTAATTCAGCATTTCTCAACTGCTGGGCTGCAGCCTGCTACTGGGCCCTGGTATCAATTATACAGGGCCTTTGTCTTATAAAAAAAAAGAATTTACCAGTCTGCGGCCTCACAAATGTTGAGAACCATTGCTGTAATTGATAATCTCGTCAGCTGCGAAATTCACACTGTTATCCGCTTTCTTTATGCTTAATCATGAGTGCTGCTGCAGAAATCCATTGTGAATTATGTGCAGTTTACTGCCAAAAGGTAATGCGTGAAGGAGCTGTAAGACAGTGATGTAGAATGTTCAAAATTGGTGAAAAAATGTTCACAGTGAAGAGCAAAGTGGTTGGCCATCTGTAATGAATGATGATCTAGTTCTTTGTGTTGACCAAAAAACTTGTGAAAGACAGTTTCACAATTTCAGAAATTTCATGTGGATTTCCACAAATTTTACTCGCTGTTCTCTACAAGGTTATCAAAGTTACACTATGCTATCACAAGTTTTGTGGAAGATGGGTTCTGAAAATGGTAATATTTGTTATCTTGTTAATTCTATCTTGTCTTATGTTCAGGTAATCATCTTCATAACATAATGCATACAGATTTATTGGGTGTGAATTATTGCATTCGAAACAGAAAATACAGTGGGTATGCAATGTTATCATGTGTTCTTTGTTTGAAAAAAGTTAGGAAGCACAGTGAAAGCTCAGTGGCCTGGATAGGACACACATTATATCAGTTGGCTTATTTTTATTCACTTAATTTAAACACTGAGATTTTGCGTTGTTCAATGTTTGCTCCTTATTTAAAAATTGTCCCTCTGCTAGATGCGCAGCAGCTGCTAATGCTGTCTGCAGGGATGTTGACGTATTCAGAGCCAGGAATGTTCTACCCAAACAAATTTTAAATATAGTATAACTGCTAGTATTATTATTATTTGCATGCCCAGTAAAACAAAATGAATTACGTATATTATTATTATCCTCTGAAAATCTATACTATTCATTTCATAATTAAATATTTATGTTTCATTCCTCAATTTGTAAAAACACTTAGTTTAATGATAATGAAATTATTATTACTGTTATAATTATCAGTTATTTGTTTGTTTACTTTTACTTTTATTCATTATTATTTCTTCCAAGTGTTAACCTGTAATTTGTATTTGACTTTTAGTAATTTTTTCTATAATGAAATTCATTCATCTGCACTGTGCTGTGTCTGTAATTGGCCTTGCAGCTGTTGACTCGGCACATTAATAATAAAGAATTGAATTGAATTAATTTAATGTTTATTAGAGCCAGAATAGCTCAATTGATAAAGAGAGGGGCTATGGGCTCGAAAGCTTTCTTTTCTCCATATTGTCCAGACCAGCTTGGGGGCCTGCCCAGCCTCTCATCCAATGGGTACTGGGGGCAATATCTCCATGGTTAAAGCAGCTGAGGTGTGAATCTGATCACTCAGCTCATAGTGCTGAGGTCAAGAATGGTGGAACTATACCTCCACTCTCCCATATGTGTTCATGGCGTGGTTCATAATTAATTAAGCATAGGAACAACCTTACCTTTTTACCTAAGTTAATGTTTATAATGCTTTTTTATTGGTTTTACAGAAACTGGAAGAAGTGAAGAGGGAGAGAGATAATGAAACTAAAGTGAAAAAAGAAAAGAAAGCTTCTGATGATGAGCAGGCAGATCAGAAGAAGAAATCAGCTTCAGCAAAAGTTAAGAAAGAGTCAGATGATGATATGGATGAACCAATAGAAAGTACTCCACCGACCTCAGACAATGAAGCATCTGGCTCTGGATCTGATAGTGGCTGAGTTTCACTGGAAGACAAGAATGAGACACCCATCATATGACTGAATATTAGAGAAGCCACAGTTATTCCAAATGTCAAACCATTTCTACAGTTATGTCTCAATAAAAAATTGCAATTTATTTTCTTGTTATGTTAACCATACACATGCCTCTTGACACAACTTGTAAGAAATTTCTGGTTTTTCTGATTCATTATGTTTATTTTAATTTATGATGTCTGGTCTACATTCCATGGAATATATTACAATAGATTTATTTTGCATTCTTTATTCTGATTCTGATATATGTTTCAATGAAACAGTAATTTGATATGTATCAAAATATAGCTTAATGGACTACAATAAAAATGCTGATTTAAGAACTGTAAGGTGAAAACAGTGTACTCAGAATTAAAAGCTGTGAAATCACAAATTAAGGGATGAAAATAACTTCCACATTTTAGGGCTCTTTGAAACATGACATGCCAGAGATATGCAGCTGAGGTCGTTGCATCTGAAGGAGCCAGTTCAAAGGTATCACAGCATCAGAACAAGTTCCCTTGACTTTCTCTGAATTAACCCGACGTCTATTTTACCATTCTGTGCATCAAGGACAGGGACAATGACACACTTATTTATTAGTAAAAGTGATAATGTTTAACATAAAATGTGTTTTCCGCTAACATATTCTGTTACAGAAAATTATCATATTTACGAATAAATGTTGTAAAATTATGTAAAAAATGAGAGCCCAAGTGTAAATGAATAACTTTTGTTAGAATCTTAGCATTAATGGCTGGACAGCAATTCTCAGAGTTGGTTGCCTGTGAATACAGCATTATGCTTGAAACACATTATAACCCTCAAAGCTGAATCTCAGAAAATAATTTAAACATCGTTTTGTCTTAGTGATTTCCATTTTATTTATTCTTACAAATTGCCTCTCACCAGATTTATCAGTTATGGCAGAAACTAAATTTCACGCTATAAAATGTAAAAAGAAACATTTGTCTGTTGTTACTGAGGGAACTTGAAGGAAACAACAAATGCATGAACTGTAATAGTGAAGTGTTGTAGTTATGAAGCTCCACATTATGCAGTTTGTCATAGCTTTAGCACTTGAATACAAAAATATATGGTTTAGATAGCGATTTTTCTGTTTTCCACCTCATGCAGACTGGTTCTGTGGCCTGCCCAGGCTCCTCGTGAATGGGAACCAGGGAGAGGAGGGACAAAGTGGCTAGCTTGTGAAATTTTATTAGCTCATTTTATGCTGAGAGTAAGAAAGTATGGGAGCTATAACTCGACTTATCCATAAGTATTTATGTTGAGGTGTTTGATAGGGAAAACGTTAACCTTTCTGTGCATTTCAAGACAAGTTCACCAGGTTCTGTAGTTTCATATAAAAGGGCTTGGGAGGGGATTTTAAAAGTAAACGTTGATGATATGAGAAGTCTGTATAGTGCGAAATATTTAATTGTGAAAGTTACGTGAATAATACTGATTTAATTTATATTATATATAACATGCATAATGATTAATTAAATATTTCACACTACATAGATTTCTCATATCATCAATGCCCACACACACACAGGGTGACCCAGGAGGAAAGGTGAATATTCTGGGAGGTCTAGTATCAGTCCTAAGCAAAAAAAGGTATATGTGCATGTGTCCTATTCTGAACAGTTTCTGAGATAGAGCTATTTTGCCGTACAGTTCCAGATTTTTTTTTTCTGAGAAAGAGATATATACTATTTCTAATACTGGCACATATTGTTCAAGTGACAGAGTTGGTATAGTTTACCTTGTATAGAACATTTTTGAAAATTCCACTGTCCGTAACAGTATACTTTGCAACTTGTGTGAGGACATGGAGTGTTGCTTGTCTGAGTGCATCTTGACATTTGCTTCTGCAGGCAATAACATAAAATAGCTCTGTCTCGGAAACCATTCAGAATAGCACACGTACATACACTTTTTTGCTTGGAATGACTGATACTATGACCCCCCAGAATACCTGATATTTCCTCCTGGGACATTCTATACATATACATATATATATAATGCAAACTGAAGTTGGCGAGTGTAACGCCACTATTGACTAAGAAATTCTCATGGCAGTGAAAATTAAGATTACAGTCTGTTGGAATAGAACTCCATAGTGTCACATTCCAGAAGACTAATCTAGACCAAGTCTATGTTTCATATTTTGTTGCTTTGTTATCTCCCATATGAAATTTCATCATTTGACAGAGGATGCCTTAAAAGGACATCACACATGCCAAAAGGAAGGAAATGCAGGCTATTCAATCAGTCATGTACATTTCAAAATATGCAGGAGAAATTAACCTGTTGGCCCAAAGTATTTATTTGTGCACTATAGAATTATAAGTGTTTTTTACGTCCTACGTTTTTTTAAACACTTGGCGTCTGAGGTACAGATTTTATTTTTTCGTCCGTAGGAAGTTTCGGTGTTACTGTGGAGGTTTCTAATAATGCGCCATTGATATTACTTTGCGACGTTGTTCATAGATAGGGCACTCGCACAGTTCCCNNNNTCAACAAATGTCAGGAGATATATAGTGACCAACATGATTGTAGGAAGGAGATAAAAAAACTGATTCTTCACAATACAGCTTTGTATGTCAAAATTGCTTAATTAGATTTTAAATTTGTATAGCAAATATATTACATCACAATGGGATGTGACCATTGACACCTGGTTTCACTCAGCGAATGGGAAACCTTTATCAACGTCAAAGTTCAAGACGTTCAAGACATTGAGCTTCTCTACCTGAAAGTTGGCGACACTGAGCGTGGAAAACTAGTTACGGAAGGAGCCATAAAAGCAGAGAGAACGGTCGGTCTGTATATTATTATTATAAGGTTATTGCGTGTGTTGTGATGTGATATGGCATCATTATCGCTACCCAGAGTTCTGCAACAGCGGAAAACAAGTCTCGAACAAGAAAGAGAAAATTTTGAAAAGTGCCAGGTAGGTTTGGTATTTTTATCACATTAATGATCTAAAATCTGACGGATCGTTTACTCCACTTTCATTCGTGTTCTTACAGACGTTACATGTGCGTGATTGACGTTTACAGTCTACCCGTATTACTTAGTGTTGTATGTGAACGGTTGCTTACAGTTTGTAACATAGCTTCGACGCAGACAAAAAAAAAATTGTGATCATACTCTTCCTACAATCAGATTGTTTTATTTGTTCCTGGCTGTTGCCACTGGAATCCATTAACTACGAGGATTAAGATTTGGAAATTTGTTTTCATTCTAGTCTGTAATACATTAGGTACAAAATATCTTCGTTTTTCTTTGGTGAATATTTTCGTTTTATGCCCTACGAAATACAATTTCTTGCTTTGTATAGCCGGTTGGAGAAGTCTTGAAGTAATTTCAGGCCTCAATTTCTCCCACGCCTTCTATCAGTGCACAGACAAAACGAGGTGCATCACACATTTGTACTGTTTGTTTTGACTTCAAAGATATGTGATGTATAAAGTATATGTCATCTTTACTGGTAAAATTACTTAGTAGCCCGCCACTGTGTAAGTGGAAATGGATGTTGATTGTAACATTTGGTTTGGTTAGTACGGAAACCCGTAATAGATTTGTCAGTGTAAGTCCAATTCCTCAGATGCTCCACCGAAAGTAAAAGGATGGAGAATACGATTTCACCCATCGTGAAAGTAACCGTCCTTGACCCCGAGGGAAGTAATTGGAAGAAACTGTTTAGGCGGATAAGTTAAAATTAGCTCAGAAATTCACGCGCATGGACCGTCTGTCTGCTTAGCTACAATCAAGCGAGATTTTAAACATTTGCAATGTTTGGATAGTCTTACCTCTTTGGATATAAAGCCGTGTAGTCCGGCGAAAGTCAGCTGATGTTTCGGAGGAATATATCGCTTGCATCATCAGGGTCGAAGTGTAAATCAGGCATGAAGCCAGCAGAAGCTTGTTGCCAGCTTCTGCTGGTTTCATGCTTGATTTGCATTTCGACCCTGAAGGTGGAAGCGATATGTATTGTCGTTCCCGCCTCGTGATTGACTGTCCACATCTCGTTCCACGTGTTATGGTTGGGAAGTAAACGATGCTTATTAGATGGCCCCTCAAGTAGAAGTTGACGGGAGGGAGATTGATTGATCACGGAGGCTACGCACTGTCTAAATACCTCATGACCGCTCATGACATCGCTAGAAGAATGGGCGGGAACCCAGTCATGCCGTACCCACTCTGTCGCGTTGCTAGTACTAGGTTGCCCAGCAGTTGCCATGATTGTTCAGATAGAAACGAAATAGGAGGCCCCTGATTCCCGCCGAGACATATATTGCAAATTGCTGCTAGAATCGTGCTTCTTGAAAGGAATGTTGAATTTTCATCAGCCCACGTGAGCTGGTTACAAGCATTGAAAATACAATTCCGTGTGAAGCATGCAACACACGGCCGAGAAGTGTTAAGCCGGGTCCAGACCTGTTGCGTATCGTCCGATGCAACGCGACAAAATTTTGCGTCCAGACTTGTTGCGTATCTCCACTCCACTCCATTCAGAGTATATAAACAGAGAATCACAAACAGAAGAACGCACACTGGTGATGACTACACTCCAACTGTCTGGAGCTGATAAGCAAAGCGCGATGCAGCCGCCTATACGTCCAGACTGGCACCACTGCAACCCGAGTCGTCCCTTTGATGCGACGGGAAAAGACCGCCAAGCAAGCGAACAGCCCGTTGCGTATCATTTTCCAACGGAAGGATGATACGGGGTACGCAACAAGTCTGGACCCGGCTTTAGAGACGCAGCATCACGCCGCAGTAGTCATTCTGCGAACGCTTTTAGACGTCCATAATCTAGCGGCAGATGCAGAGCGTGAACATGCTGTACGTGGAACGGAACAGCTGATCAAGCGACGCCCTCACTAGTGTTCGCTCGGGAATATGGTGACGACGGGTTGACCACTAGGTTTTACCAAGTAGTAGTGTGTACTTGTAGTAAGTACCATGGGATCATTACGGCACGCAGAACACAGTCTTCCACATTGGTGCGTGTGACTTTGTGATCTGCCAGTGTTTCTAATGGTGGGTGGCATATGATCCGTTTCTCGCGGATGATGTTCTAGAGAAATTATTAGCCTGAGATTTTAATGCCCTCCTTGCTGATACCTTTCAGCATAAAGACGTGCAGCGGCTCCACTGCCATTCCCTACTTCTCCATGTAATAAAATCATATATGACAATTGGAATGAATACACCGCATTCTGCACCATTCATCGATACGTAACATACTACTGCAGAGAGTAACAAAACACCAGAATATCGCGTATCCAGACAGAATGATTGTTTTATCCGTTTGGAAGTGCTGCCTTGTAGTTGCTGTATCTCGCTAACGAATCAGTTGCAACTGTATATTTTTATGAACATTTCTTCATAGTCACCGCCGTGAAAGCCTCAAATCTTACATTTCTGCTGGTCTATACATGCAGAAATAGAACTTTATATTTAAGTATGTAATTAAGTTTCGTCCTGCGTAGAGAAGAATTATAACCAGGAATATTCTAAGAGGTTCAGAATATTGTTTTTGAGTCATATGACCCGAGATATTGCATAATTTTAAAATTAACTGGAGTAGCCGTTCTTTGTTTTACTTTTAGTGATGAAATTGGTTGCAGATCACCCCATTTTTGTGACAAACAGAACGGTGTGAAAATAAAGTAAAGCTATCCCTGTAACAGGCCGTGAAGGCGTTGAGGGTCCCACATTTTCTAGACAATGGGCTCAAAGATGGCGGTAAGGTTGTCAGCCTTACGCGCCTGCCGCGCTTTACTTCCCAGGAAAATTATTTAATTAATGCGGTAGCGTAGTTGTTTGAGGTACAAACCGGAAGGTCGCGGGTTCAAGTCCCTATAAGGTCATTGGATTTTTTTTCATTTTACCTAATCCTTCCAGCCGCACTATGGCCCTGGGGTCGACTCAGCCTCTTAACAGAAATGAGTACCAGGAAACAGAACGGTGTGTCTTGATAAATTAGGATATTCAGGTAACGACTGTTCCATAGGCCCCAAATCTGAAGCCCGTTGGAGAGGATTATGAAGGCAGTTACTTCATGGTTTACCTCAGACCTTCACTCTTTCATGCTAGACAATTTGCATACTCGTGTCGTGCGGCGCCGTAGGTCATGGCCTACTTCGCCTGTGGCTTACTTCGGCCCAGTGTGTATCGTTGTAAATTAATACTTAACAACTTTATTATATTCATGTACTATGTAAGAACATTCTTGCTGACAAAATGAGTACATTATAATATAGCACATCTCGTATGTTATTACACCGACAGTTTGCAAGAAGATTGTTATTTGAAATAGTGTTTTTTTTTTCCTTTGGACAGTCACCGTAGAGCCTGCTGAATGCATTCATGATGCTTAACAGTCTGTAACATTTTTCGAAGGCCCTGCCGTTTGCGCACTTGGATCCATCCCTTCGCATGTAGTTAGTTAGTTATTGGAGAGGGTGGGTTTCCCCATGCACTGAGACCAGTATTGGTCCATTGTGCTTCCCTCTATGATATTCTACCAGTCTCTATACCCTACCGATATTGGTGCGTACCATCAGTCCCAACCGAGCCAGCGAGTTCGGCCTCTACTTGCTTGGCGGTATCTATAATGCTTCCCCCATCTATCAGAGGCGTTAGAGACTACTGTTGGGCCGCAAATGTCCTTGAATTTAGCTCAGTGACCTCCTTTGGAGATATGAGGTTCTTTTACGTGCCGTAAAGCTACGACACGGGACCCACGGCTTAAAGTCCCACCCGGAGGACTTGTTCCCTGAATTTTTCCGCCCTTAAAAATTCCACGACCTCCGCCGGTTTTGAACCCGCGTACCACGAGTCATGAGGTGGGAACGTTACCTCTAGACTACGGAGGCCGCTATCCCTTCGCATGTAAGAGAGGATGTCCTTTTCGCCTGTTGCGACTCAACGAACTTGTAGGTTATGAGCTATATACACTCACCCAGGACACTCACGTTCACCCTCCAGGTTCGAATCTTGACACTTTTGAACTTCATCACACCACATAAATTCTGACTTTTTCTGAATCAGTTTACATTGCAGATATCATTGACTCGTTCCAGACGCCCATTGCCACATGAAGTACATTTATAATCGGAATGTGTTTTGAAATTACGAAACCATCACATGCTAATGGATGATTATTCACCTCATATCCGAAGTGCGAAAGGTCTTGAAAGTATTTATAATTCCCTGGTCTAGGGATAGAATCAGGGACGTAGTTTGGACGTACGGAAACCAGTTCAATGCACAGGCGCCGGTAGGATTTACACCAGTGAGGAGGGCACTCAGTTTTCGTAGCAGGGCAGCCGGCCAACAAATTTAGATTCAAGCCGAAGATTTCTGTTTTCGGGGCATAACGCCGTGTAGTCCTGTGAAATCCAAGCAATGTTTCGGAGGACACATTGCTCTCATCTGCAGTATTGAAGAGCAAGCCAACCAAGAAACCAACGTGCTGGAGGCAACAAGCAAAGTTCACCGGGCCATACGGCCTTACATCCCAGGAGATCGAGCTCTTCATAGCTACCGCTGTGAGAACATCAAATTCAACTTACATTTAAGCTGTTTGAGACTGTTTTATATTTTCAGTAGTTTTTTATTTTTGTGTGTTCAAGATGGAATAATTGAAACAGTTCTGCTAGTTGTTTTATATAGTTCCTTCTTTCACAGTTTTGGTTTTTTGCCAGAAATCCGTCGGGAGGGCGTCAGATGCCGCCTGCCCCCCCCCCACACAGCTGCACGATTCAGTGTACTGTAAGTTCAAGACTGGCTCAGTTTGACAGTTTATACGCAGGGCTTTTCTCGTTTACAAATAGTAAGGAGAATTACAGATCTGTTAACCTGCAACAAGACAGACACCGTTTGTTATCTGGGATGCTCTTGATGCTGCTGATGGTAATTGAATCCATTTATTTATTT